TGGCAACGCATCACTCCCAACGTCATCAGACGTTTGACGTCATCAGTCCGTAGGCGTGTTCTGGCATGTATTGATGCTCACGGTGGACATACCCGCTACTGACTTGACTTTGAGACGTGTGGTGTGACATTTCCCGTTGTTTCTGTGATCAGTGCTCTAACGAAATGTTCATTTTTCGACCCCGCCCATCTTTAAAGGCTTGTCATATTGGTTGTACAGATTTTATTGAAATGCAATTTTTGTACAGATGTTGTGAAAGGATTTCTCAAAAGCATAACACCAATCCTAAACTTCTGCATTGTTTAGTTTTTCTTTTATGTCGTTGCAAACAGGTGGTATCGTTTCTTTTGGACACTAGTTTAGTAATGTTTTGATAATGTTTGTAATTTTATTGTCAAATCTAATTTTCAAGTGTATACTTTATTTTGCCCGGTAGTTTATATTAAGTCTTTGATTTATTTTTGCTTCAGTTCAAATACATCCATTCTTGTTTGGCTGAGGATTAGCTACAAGTTTTAGTGGCCACGTCCGCACCCGGTAAACGACGCTACCATTATGTAAGTCACACTTGGTAAGATTGTGAATGGATGCACAACAAGGTGATAATATAAGAACTGATTTTCCAGGTCATCTTGAATTGCTTCCCCATATATTGCGGGAAGGGAATACCTATTTCGTTATACGTTATTGGATCTTGCCGTGATTCGATATGTCACGTTACGATTTAGCTGTGATACGTTATTTTCCAAACAGTCCTGTTATCGTGAATTTCCAAATATATTACATGTTTTCTGTTAAACGTATTCTATCTCGCTTGTAAATTGTTACCAGTCGCTATCGTTTTTTTGTGTGTCCAAACCGTGAATACCATTTAGTAAATTTGGGGGACCAAAATAATAAGAAAAGCCAAGGATGGTCCGTCTGACAAGTTGTCGCCAAGTTTATATGTTACAATACAATGAGATACAGTCCAAGTTTATACATGCAAAAACATAAACTTGATAATGATATGGTTACATGTAAAAACATAAACTTATCTAATGATATGGTTTTGGTCACTTACAGAGTAAAAATGAATTATTCCTTTTCCCTAATATGAACTATGAACTAATTTAGACGATTATTATTCGTGATTGTGAAATTGGTGGGAAAATTACCTGTGATCTGTGAAAAGGTGGCCTGAATTACCTGCGGACAGTTATTGAGTATAGGTGAGGTGAGGTGAAATGGGGTTTAACGTCGCGTCCAAGATTATTGCACTTATATAGCGACGTGCATGCACGTGTGTGGCTGCTTGTACTAGTCCGGACTGAAGCCGATTTATAGTGCTCACTGAGATACCATGCCGCAGTTTAACACGAATACCCCACTCAGACACAGTATACTGACCCCGAGCCAACCAGTCCTTGTTTTAACCCCTTAATGCCGAGCGCCAGACAGGGTACCAACAAGTACCATCTTTTACCGTCTTTTGGTATGACGCGGTCGGGGATCGAACCCCGGACGCTCTACCACTGGACCACGGAGGCGGTCTATTGAGTATAGGCATTTCCTATATTGCTCAATTGATATACAGGGTACCTGATCTAGTATTTGTGGTAAACCCTCAACCCCAGGTAATGCTGTAAGTTGTAGCAGTAAACGTGTTATGAAAATACAGGACCTACGAGTATTACGAGGACTTTGGAGGACATTGTCAGTTTGCAGTCACTGTATTGTATCACCGGATCACAGCAATGTAGAGATCATCAGATGGATGCTGTCATTCAGTATTTGGCCCCTGTATTGAGTTACGCCTAAAAACTTGAAAAGATTTCGAAAATATCTGTTGACAACGAGATGGCGGTGCACATGCTTTGCATATCCTGCAATCAACCGAAATCTGCAGGACAGTTTACGAACTGGATTTCGATATCGGTGCGCGATTTTGATTGGACTATGCATAGACTCGTTAGTCCAGCCAAAATCTAACTCTATAATACCAGACTAGTTAGGCAAGAGTGGAAAGTGGACTTTTATAGTCAGTTAACTCTCTTGCCTCTGGAAGATGTCTGGATGCAGTGATGTCAAAGTCAAGAAGCGCTTCCTCAAATGAAGAATACACAAATACCGATGTTCGTTGGGGGTGGTGACGCGTGATCTATTTCCCCGGGTACTGTCCACCGTCTGCACTGTCTACCTGTCTACTACTGGTGATTGTTGGACGGTAGCAACCATAGTGTCAAGCGACGGTGTCATATATGTGCTTCCTAGTTGCAGCATACCAATGACTCTTTATCTCTGCCAGTATACGTAGCATGTTACTGTTGAGTTCTGAACTCCTCAATGACGAACATGTGAGCTGTTTTATACCTATATGCATCCTCTGATCACACTGCACGCGTTTTTTCAACTTTAACGAGTTTAGTCATTTTACACGGATAACCGTGAACTAAAGCCACATTTCAAGCCGCTACCATATCTCCTGCATTTCTACGATTGATATTACAGAATTTTGGAACATTATTTATTATCATGTTCGAATCCATTTTAAAAAAAATACTGGGCTTTTTAGTTCTGACTCTCTGTCTCTTGGTTGTGTATCTCGTGAAGATTCTGATTCATTGCCATTGATAACATGGGACAAAAACTACCGTCTAAGCTCCATCCCCGAACCCCACAACCCCCAACCCCTAAACCACACCAACACACTCACGCTGAGCTACAATAATACATGTTTATAATGATTAGGCCCCTCCGTTGTCCCATAACTGATCATTCGGATGTGAAATGTGTATTGTGGGTTCCCCCACACTGTTGGTACCCAGCAAGACGCATAGAAGGAATCACAACATCAGTCATGATTAGAAAAGGTGAAAGTGAAGCAATTTCAATCGATGCTTTAATATCCGACGTCGGGAGAATAAATGATTGACTGAACGGATTTAGCCCCGAATCATTTAATCAATTTTCATTTTGCAATAAAGTAATATTCCAGTTTGCCTCAGTGAACAGTAGTGAAATACTGATGTTTAGTTGACATGTGCAAGCTACGCCTATGAAATAAAACGGTACTGCATGTTTGCTGACGTGGGTAGTAATTACAATACCATGTCATTCCTATCTCTATTCTTTTAACCTGGCGATGTTTAGCTATGCAACTACAGTACAGTAAAGTACGGTTATAACGAACTCAAAGGGACTACTATTTTTAGTTCGTTATAACCGTAGTTCGTTATAAGCATATATACAGCATAACTACAGCAAATAGTCGGGACTAAAAAGTTAGTTCGTTATATCCGTCAGTTCGTTATAAGCGTGTTCGTTATAACCGTAGTTTACTGTACATGTAAAGGTGGACTATGCGATGTCGTAGATCAAGATCAAGATGTTTTATTGTACTAAAGAGATCCGGCCCCTACACAAGACAAGAGTACAACGATATAATATCATTGTCAGTGCGTACAACACAGCTATAGAGCTGCATACAATGTATCTGTGCTGATGACGTCACAAAGTGGGTGTACGCATTTATTTTTACGAACTGACGTCATGATACTATATAATTCTTACGCCGACACGATGGTGAACAAAATAGTGCTGACCTAAGAATTATTTTACCATCCTCAGTTTAGCAGAGATTAACACGAATACAGATTTGATGTTATAAGAAGTGCCATGTGTTATATTGGGACATTGGCCATTTGTAGTTAGGTTATCAGGCTCAGCCAACAAAATATTACAAAGGGTCTACAATATTTAGAATGAAATATGCAGGGGTGGCAATGTGATTGAGCCATATCATAATGATGGATTACATTATGTTATTATAACACAAATGCCACTTTGCGTTCTATATGTATGCAAGGTCATATTAGGTTATCACTCTAGAATAATAAAACATCATTTAAGCTGCACAGTTCAATGGTAGCACCAATGGGACAACCTAAATTGTCCGCTACTCTTTAAAAGCCTTATTAACAAGAATACGCACCTAACCCTTTGCATGGAAACAATTCTTTCAACAGATTCTTACAGTCAGTTAATCACGTGAAGAGAACAATGCAGCCACGCATGATCAATGACCAGCTTCCTCGCCGCCTGGTTATCTGCGGTCCACACATTGTGCGGGTATGTTGATGTGATCATGGCAACCCCCGGTAACACCATTTACTGTTGTCGACGTCACTCGCTCCGTCATTGAAGGGGATGCTAAGAAAGCAGAGGATTAACACTTTATATTTCATGTACAGCCAGAAAGCTATATTGTGCTTACTGTCCTTTGGCGCAACTGAGTGAGTGAGTGAGTGATTGAGTGAGTGAGTTTAATGTCGATTAGAACATTATTTCGGTAACGGACGATATCGCACGTGTTTTACTTGCCAATTATGGTAGATGTGACGTTACATTATACAATACTATTAACAATCGGAGTGTGTGCTATGGCTCTCCACAGAATGGGCCGATGCTCATGACATCAACCCCTGGTTTGCAGGACATGTCTCTGACTGTTTGGGTTATACATCTAATTGTACGGCTTTTGTGTGATTTCACTTTTAGTCGTTATCTTTACTACAAACTGTAGCCAAAAGAAAAATTAAAACTGTTTATAAAATAAAATAACAAATCGAATCATAATGTAAATAACGTAAAAAATAGCTTTTCAAGAAATAGATATAACGTTTATTAAAATTATAAATTGATAAAGTAACAAATGTTTTATTTATAAATTACGGTTTCGGGTAAAGATGACAATCATGTACATTCTCTCCTTCTGGACCCAACTACTTTATGAAGTGCTTCTTCCAATCAACTTTTCATTTTTCATTTTCCGTTAAACATTTTAACATAACAAACAACATCCCAAGTGAAAGTCCATGGTCTGACGTCACCCAGGGGAAATAGCAGACACACAACAACCAGGGCAAACGCCTGACAATAACAAGAACAGTGCCAATATATCGACCACCTACCTGTTTACCGATATATAAAGAGTTAACACTGTTGCTAGAGTTGGCGACTTCGAAGGCGGTATCGGCAGTTGCGCTGGGGATGATGGCGTGTGTGCTTTGCCTAGAGTAGGTAAGCATTTGCTATAGCTCTTTTCAAAGGTACCATAATATTTTAACTGTATCATATTAACATTAATGTTTCAGTTTTGGATTAAAGGAATGCGCCAATTTAAAGTAAATGTACATCACAAGGAAATGTTATTGAGAGATGTTAATATGACCGTTTAACATCGCCTCTAAGGTTTATTTGATATACAGTGAAGCAACTCTTTTGTCTCCCAATGAAATCATCCGGATTCACAAAGTTCCGGAGGAACAAATTTTGATTACTAGTGATTTCACTTTGGCAATATGTCAAATGCTGGACTTCCTCATAGATAACTTATACATTATGTGCATTTTTGACGTGGGACATTTAGGCAAGAAGTAGGCACCAGTTGTGTTCCCCTCCTTGCTGATCTGTTTCTTTATCACATTGATTCGGAATTTCTGCTCGAATTGGCAAAATCAAAACACGAGAGCTTTAACTATATCGACAAGCTGATATCGTTAAATAGTCAATTCCTTCCACTGATGTACCCGCGTGAACTAGACGGTGAAGAGACCAGCTTCGCCTGTTTCATGTGTAGATCGCGATTCAGAGTGAAAAGAGATTATCCATGTACCTGTGTGACAAGAGGGACATTTCAACTTTCCATTAAATCGACTTTCCTTTTCGAGTAATATTCAAACAGCTCAAGCCTTTGGTGTCTACATTTGCCAACATTGGGGATACAATCGAGCGTGGTTTTTCAACGAAGATTTAAAGATCGTCATAGGACTCTTGTCATAAATTTGTTTTAGCCTCAGTAAAGCTTCCAAAGGTTAAATGGCAGACATGTGGATGACATTTCCAAATTTAACGCATCGGTGCCCAAAATGATATCCGATGAAATTCACTATTTTGACTTGAAAATGTCAGGTTAACTGATGTTCCCATGTTCAGGGGAACACTTGCCTTTGAACGTGTTTGTGACGGGTGCTACCGGTTGGGCAGGATAGGCTCTTGTTTCGCGAACACCCCTTATCATTTCTAATTTATAGAGTTTTCGTGTGATTATGGATTTGGTTTTGTCGTCTTTGATCTTATGAAGACGTTTCTAGGAGTACTTGTCCGGGACTCGTGGTTTCAGAGTTAACGGGTCCGGTGTAACGAGTTTCAGTGTATAGTTTGTTTTCAAGACCGCCTATTCATGTATGTATGTATGTATGTATGTATGTATGTATGTATGTATGTATGTATGTATGTATGTATGTATGTATGTATGTATGTATGTATGTATGTACGTACGTGTGTGTGTGCGTATGTATGAAATATATAGCGTCTAATGGGGTAAACATCTTGTCTATTATATATAGCTGGTGTGCATGCTGTTTGTGAATGCTTAGTCCCTTACGAATCATAACAGAAACGATTCAAAATTATTCTTCAGTGTTGTGTAAATATACTTAAGATAACCGGTGTCGGTTTACAATCTATGTAGGTTGATTCCTAAAACATTCCTTCCCAATTTATCGATTTTGCTCTCTTGCAGCTTTGCATAAACCACGTCGCAGTTGCGGAACATCCTGTACTGTATGAATGTGTGTTCGATTGTTATGTTCAGGATTTCCTTTTCACATCCAGCAAAAGGGTGTTTGATCAATGTGTTTGATGCAATCTATCTGTGTTTGACATCCGGCCATGCCGACATAATGCACGTAACTCTCGTCCTGGTAGATAGTGTAAGCTTAATGGACATCACAAAGAACTCTTGTACATATAACAATGAAACATATATGCAGGATACGCCCTATTGTTATGTCTTTGGCGTCTTTTTCATGGATGAAATAGGTATCAGTGTTTTTTCAACATGCGAACTTTCTTAAAGATTTGTTTTACTATTTAGATGCTCAGAAGAAATGTACAAATAATCTTATCATTCCTCCATGTCTGAATGTCTATATCTGATTGGTTTACGTTATCTTGATAAAATACGATGTATCCCGTCTGCGAGGGCAATACATTTCTGAGAGGGAGAAGAAATCCCTTATACCCCACCACGCAGAAAACAGACTGGATGTGGATTTCTCAGCGAGAGAATAAATCCCTAATACCTCACTTCGAAGCAAAAACCCGTACGCAAAGAAAGTTACGTGACATAGCACAAGGTAATCGCAGCGCTATCGAACAACTGTTTTCTATCAATTTTGAATTTGTGTTTGTAAAACATGTCGGTAAAATAAATTCGCATAAGACGCATAAAACCCCATGTTCCTTACACAGTGAATTTCATTGACTCGGAAAAAGCGTGTGGGATTTTGCTTCGAAGTGGGGTATAAGGGATTTATTAGGTTTTATTCTATTCGATTCCGGGACGTGGTATAAAACCTTACGCGGGACACATAAAACCCCACGTACCCCTCGTGATCCTGGTACACCTTATATTATCATACGTTAAATAAAATCACTAACGCCACATATTGCAAGCTGCAGTTGTGTTTCTTTTTAAAACCAACAGACCATCGACAAATGGGGGGTCCCATATATGTATACACTTACGAAGTCTCGCAACTGCAAATTCTGCACCCTTCCTTGCTGATCTGTTTCTTTATGCACATGAATCGGAATTTCTGCTCGGAATGGCAAAGTCAAAACAAGTTAATCTGGTCAAAAAATTTAACTTAAGCTTCAGGTATATCGATGATCTTATATCGTTCAATAACAATCAAATAGCTAAATCCCTTCCACTGATTATCGCACATGAACTAGAAATAAAGGATACCAGTGAGACCGCCTCATCTGATTCATATTAAGATCTATACATAAAGATTCAAAGTGACAAAACACTCTCCTCAAGACTCTATGACAAGAGTGATAAATCAACTTTCCAATAGTCAATTTTCCCTTATGTTGAGCAATATTTCTGCAGCTCCAGCCTTTCGTGTTTACATTTCACAACTATCCACCGAGAGCGACATAGGCTCTTGCTCGATAGTTGTTTCATAAAAGATACAACATTCAAGACCTCAGTAAAGCTTTCAAAAACTTTAATGGCAGACATTTGGAGGACATTTCCAAATGTGACGCATTACTGACAAAAATGATGTCCGAAGCAGTTCCAAATGTTGACTTGTACCATATGTTCCCGTCTTATTCATGTGAACAATTAACTTGCCTTTGCAAGTGTTTGTGATGGGTACCACCGGTGGAGCAGGATACGCTCACCTTTTCGTGAACATCTGGAACCTGCAAACCCGTGCTCGTGGGTTTCACCGAAGTGGTAAACGTCTGAGACTTGCATCACTTCGGGCTTTCCTCCCACATTAAGCTGACACGCTGTGATATAACTGGAATAATATTAAAAGCTGCGTTAAACCCAACTCACTCACTACCCCAATGCATACACGAATTTCAATACAGGGAATTCCCTCAATAACTGATGATGTCATTGGAATCTCTCCAACTTATTTTCTCTCTGTCACAAAGGGTTCACTGTCTTAGCTAAGAGAAATGTCGTAAGTAAACGTTGCGATAGGTTTGGAAAGCTTACAGAATAATTAAATCCGCTAAGATTTGTCTAAACACAGACAGCTTCGAGAATAGGTCTCCCAGACATTTGTATTGACCTCATTTTATCGAATGTTATTTTTAACTTTAAGTACTTGCAGTGTTATCGTTAGAAGGAGCTGTGTAAACTATGTATCCATTCCTCTCCATATCGATGAGCTCACGTAGCGGTTCTACCCGTTAAGCTCTTCATGGGAAAGAAACCATGTGAAAACTATACCCTGAATGATTTATCTGAAATGTTGACAGTACGCTCTAATTAACAGCGGTGACCTTTGACACCGACTAGGTGACCTGAAGGTTAAACCGTTCGCTTGTCGCCAGGTTCGTTTTGATATCTGCTCATAATGTATTAAACATCCCTGTGGTTCCCATGGGGGTTCTGTTGCTGGGATATTGGTAAAAGCGGCTTTCTGATCTCACGACAAGAAACATTCAAAAAATTGAATAAGCAAGACCTATTGTATTTATTATTTATTGTTCCAAACTCCAGATCTTCGTCACGAGTCCTGGGTTCGATTCCACGCATGCGCAGGCACTAAGTGTGAGGTCCAGTATTGGTGTTCGCACGTGCTATTGCTGTAATATTTTTTAACGTAGTGTAAAACGTCACTCGCTCACTATTACTAACATCCCCTGTTGCATCTGGGCTCTCATCTTATTCCAACAGTTATCATTTACTTGGGATGTGCTGATTGATCGAAATCTCGATGCAGCCAATTGTCCATTGGCCAATTGCAATATATCGATGACAACAGAAAATATAACCATTGACGTCGAGCAACAGTATCGACCGTAGCGATAATCGTATAACGCACGGATATGAAAAACAATACTCCCAAGCAGACGATGTGATTCATGGGCTTGACGGATGTGTAAAGCATTTTCTTCATGTCCAATAATTCATTAAAGTTTACATCGTGTAAGTAATTATTATCACATTACTCGTGTAATATCTCTATTAAACTGCAATCAACGCCAGGGATACAAATAGTCATATTCCTCAAGCCCTATTGTCGCCATGCATGTTTTGTGTCTTGTATTGTCTATATCCTGAATCAGGACAATAGTCTTGGAATTACAGCTCATGGGACGTTGTGTGAGTACTGTCAGTGTTACATATATTGGTTAATACCATTGGCGATTGTCAGTGAGATGTACTATATCGTCATGGCACTCTTCAGTATGGCGCCCGATCGTTTGATTGTACTTCCATTCGCATGGTCCTCTGTTCGGCTGCTTGCGTGGTAACTAATATATCTTCGTGTCCATGAATGGATTGATGGCTGGCTGGCTGGCTGGCTGGCTGAATGATGGATTATCAGCTTATCTGTTATACGAGAGAGACATACATATACGATATAATCCTAGCATACGTTCCTTGGATATCTATATTCCAGCCTTGTATAAAGTACTGTTGTTTAAACGAACAGAACCGTTGCGCGCCAAATTTCCGTTGCCATCGCTACGGATGGGTATTGTTTGTATATATGAAAACATTCCTAAAAGTAACCGTCCGAAAAGCAGATTAACCAGGTCCGGATCAGCGAGGTTCCTCTATCGATCTGTACATAGGAATGTTTGTACTTGCAGATTGGAGGGGAGGATGTGACGGAGCCAGCATGGAGCTACACGTGTGGTTACTCGGCATTCTGGTGTGCTGCTCAGGTCAGTGTCAAGAATCAGGTGTCTGTACCGCGTTGCCCGTTTTGTACGTGTACGTATCTATGTGCTAGACGCCTGTGTGTGCATGTTTGTGTATGTATGTATGTATGTATGTATGTATGTATGTATGTATGTATGTATGTATGTATGTATGTATGTATGTATGTGTTTGTTTGTGGGTGAATGTATGTGTGGGTGTATGTCTTTGTGCATGTGCGTGTGATTGTGTGTATGTGTTTATTCGTGTGCATGAATGTGTATGTGTATGTATGCCTCTCTGTATGTGTGGATGTGTATGTATATGTATATCTGTGTATGTTTGTATGTCTCTGTATGTGTGTGTGTTTGTGTGTATGTGTATGTACATGTGTCTCTATCTATGTATGTGTGTATGTGTATGTGTGTGTATGTGTGTTTATGTGTCTGTGTGTGTCTCTGTATGTGTGTATGTGTATGTATATGTATATCTGTGTATGTCTGTGTGTGTGTGTGTTTATGTGTCTGTGTATGTACATGTGTCTCTATCTATGTATGTGTGTATGTGTATGTATATGTATATCTGTGTATGTGTGTGTATGTGTGTTTATGTGTCTGTGTGTGTCTCTGTATGTGTGTATGTGTATGTATATGTATATCTGTGTATGTCTGTGTGTGTGTGTGTTTATGTGTCTGTGTATGTACATGTGTCTCTATCTATGTATGTGTGTATGTGTATGTATATGTATATCTGTGTATGTCTGTGTGTGTGTGTGTTTATGTGTCTGTGTATGTACATGTGTCTCTATCTATGTATGTGTGTATGTGTATGTATATGTATATCTGTGTATGTCTGTGTGTGTGTGTGTTTATGTGTCTGTGTGTGTCTCTGTATGTGTGTATGTGTATGTATATGTATATCTGTGTATGTCTCTGTGTGTGTGTGTGTTTGTGTGTATGTGTATGTACATGTGTGTATTGGTATGTATATGTATATCTGTGTATGTCTGTGTGTGTGTATGTGTGTTTGTGTGTCTGTGTATGTACATGTGTGTATGGGTATGTATATCTATATCTGTGTATGTGTGTGTATGTCTCTGTATGTGCGTGTGTTTATGTGTATGCGAGTATGTGTATGTATATGTGTCTCTGTGTATGTGTGTTAGGAAGGGGAGGTAACCTCGTGGATAAAGCGTTGTTTCCTCACTCAGAAGGCGAGGATTTCATGTCGCACTAGGGAAATGTGTGAAGCCATTCCCGTGTATATTCCCATATCAGCCGGAATATTACTGCAATTGTGCTAATGGCGTCTTGAAACCCAACTGACTCACTCACCATACTATACCGTATGGTGGCATCACTTACACCTACTTCAATTTGGTGTACACACTGGTATATGTTAGTGTATAGTGTACATGGATTCAGGTTTGATACATACACACAAAAAGAGTACCGTATAGAGTGCAGAGTGATTATAGAGTACGGTATAGAGTTTTATTGAGTACCGTATAGAGCACAGAGTAATTACAGAGTACCGTATAGATTAGAGATTGATTGCAGAGTACCGTATAGATTAGAGAGTGATTACAGAGTACCGTATAGAGTACAGTGTGGTTATAGTGTACGGTATAGAGTACAGAGTTTTATAGAGTACGGTATAGAGTACAGAGTGATTAGCGAGTACCGTATAGAGCACAGAGTAATTACAGAGTACCGTATAGATTAGAGATTGATTGCAGAGTACCGTATAGATTAGAGAGTGATTACAGAGTACCGTATAGAGTGCAGTGTGGTTAGAGAGTACCGTATAGAGCACAGAGTAATTGCAGAGTACCGTATAGATTAGAGATTGATTGCAGAGTACCGTATAGATTAGAGAGTGATTACAGAGTACCGTATAGAGTACAGAGTGGTTATAGAGTACGGTATTGAGTACAGAGTTTTATAGAGTACGGTAAAGAGTACAGAGTGGTTAGAGAGTACCGTACAGAGCACAGAGTAATTACAGAGTACCGTATAGATTAGAGATTGATAGCAGAGTACCGTATAGATTAGAGAGTGATTACAGAGTACCGTATAGAGTACGGATTGCTAATACAGTACGGCATATCTAAATATAAGATTATGATTATGTACCTTTTTCAAATAGACAAGTAAGTGCAAACTTTTTTAGCAAACTCGCATTTCACATCACCTCACCTTAAAACAAGTGGCCGATGTTTGAAAATTACACTTTGGTACAGAACACTGCCTCATGTATGATAGTTGTTGTTACTGTTAATCTTTCACCTACCATATATATTTCTGTACCGTGTTCATTATTCAGTTTTGCTTGACAACGGTATAAGGATCTACACCGAAACGTCGCTGTCATAGTAAAATAAGTAAGTTGTTATCCATTTCGGTCTGCTTCGCCTCGTATACAAAATAGTCAACAAACTTAGTCAAGGTGTTTGCATCATAGTGACCACAAGGACAAGATGTCTAGAATGTTTGGGCGGTCTGGTAGCCTAGTGGTTAAAGCGCTCGATCGTCACGCCGAAGACCCGGATTCGATTCCCGATATGGGTACAATGTGTGAAGCCCATTTCTGGCCATGATTTTGCTGGAACATTGCTGAAAGCGGCGTAAAACCATACTCACTCACTCACTCTGGAATGTTTGATCACGCTTCCGAGTTATACGCCATAACATTTTTCTTTTTCAAACAAGTATGGGCATACACTCGTCATATACACCATTTACGATGACACTGGTTGTAATTTTGTATAGGAAGCAGTAAAATTCAAGTTTGTATTTGGCACTTCACTAAGTTATGGATTCTGTGAAATGCCATTTTACGTTCTCTTTTTGTTACCCTGTGTTTTTTGTTTACTGTAGCTGTATTCATGTTATTGATCGCGATTCTACCATTTCGTATTGTTCGTTGGCATCAGTCCAAAATACACGTGTTGCATGTCAACAAAACATGTGATCTTTTTGGACGATTAAATTGGACATGTAGGCAATGTTGCTGAAAATTTATTCGTCAGAAGGTCTCAAATCTTCAGTTCAAGGTACCTTCATACCTCCAATTTAAGGGGCCACATCGACAGAGAACTATACTATCAGAATAAAGATTTCTTTCATGGTAATATGAGCTTTAGTAACACTAGTTTGAAGATGCTATTTAGCGAATTTATGAAACGGGAAATAGCGAGAAGTTGAGAAATAACAAGATTGTGGGTTTTAGGTTACAATATGTTCATCCTGTTCGTACTGATCACCCCCGGAGGAATTCTGGGTGAACATAGGCCCCCAGCTACCTACTTTAGCGCTTCTCGTAAGAGGGAACAAAATGGTTCGGATGGTCAGATTCAGTTACTTAATTGATCTCGTGTAATCGTGTTCCTACTGCGTGGGAAGGTTAATATAATTATATCAATCACTTGATTGTCTGGTCAAGACTAGATTACTTACATGCCGCCGTCATTTGTTATAAATAATATCGAATGATTCTGATCATTCAACATTCAAATCAAAACAGATATTTGGCAAAGTAGACACAATGTATGGATAACAACTTCTTTAAGACTGTAAAGGCGGCGTTTCGGAATGGGGCCTTATACCGTTGTAAGGCAAGACTGAATGAGGACTTACTTACTTACTTACTTTGGAGATTTAACGTGCGCTTTCCGACTGATGCGTATTTCGCACACGGGCCCGGCCAGGCCATTTAATGTGTTTCCGAAAGGGGCGAAGGTGGTCTGTGCAACCCAAGAGGGGGGTTTTAGGGGTTGCTTATATAGAATTTGGGAATTTTGAGATTTGGAATAGATGCCGATGGGATTGGGGAGGAGAACTAAGGGAGCTGGGTATGGTGGATGTTTGTTTGTTTATGTGATTTTGATTTGGTGAGTTATTGTGTTTTTAGATGCGTTTTATTAGTTCCGTTTTGATTAAGAATACGCCTAAGGCCTTGAAGTTTTCTAGTTTATTTTGTGGGTTTAGTATTGCTTCTAGAGTTAGAGCCTTGTTTAGATTGAGGGTGGTTTGTAATGCGGTTCGATGTGTTAGGTAGTGTGTGCAGTGGATGAGTGCGTGTTCTGGGGTTTCTGGTTGTTTGCAGTGCGGGCAGTTACCTGTAGTGTGTTTTTTAAATTTTTTTAGGTGGTTATTTAGGTTGGTGTGTCCTGTTTGGAGTTTAGTGATTACTCTGTCGATTTTTTTGGATGGATGGAGAATTTTTGGTTTGGTTAGTGGTTTGCTGAGCACTTTTTTGATTTGGCTATTTGAGTTTAGATATAGGTTATGCCATTTTTTGGTGATTTTTTGCTTGTTTACACTTTTAATTTCTGATTTTGAGATGGGTAAGTTTAAGCTTATTTCTGGGATTTTGAGGGATAGTTTAGCTGCTTTATCTGCGTTTTCATTACCGTATATTCCTACGTGGGCGGGTATCCACAAGAAGGTTATTTGTTTGCCTGCCTTAGTTAGGTCGTTGGAGCTTTTAAGTATTTGATTTATTAATTTAGGTCGGTTTTTGGTATTTTTGTTTTGGAGGGCTTGCAGTCCACTTAGGGAGTCGGTAAGTATTAGGATTTTTTTGTGGTTTTTGGATTCTTGATTATGGAGGGCTGAGGCCATGCCCATTAGTTCTGCCGTGAATATTGATTGGTTGTTTGGGAGTCGGAAGGATTGTGTGGTTTTAGTTGGTTGTGTGGTATGGACTCCGAAACCTGTGTGTTTGGAGGTCGGATCTGAGGATCCGTCCGTGTAAATGTGACACCAATTAGGCCAATTTTCGTGTATGTATGCTAGTGTGGTAGTTTTAGCTATGTTTGGGTCGGTTTGTTTATTTATTTGGCTAGCTAGTGTTGTGTCTATTTTGGGTATTTTAAGTTTAGGGGTGAAGATATTTGATTGTTTGCAGTTTTGTTTAAGATTTTTAATTTGGTGTTCATTTAGGTAGTTTGTTATTCTTTGGGATATTGGGGTAAGTAAGGGGTGTTTACGAGCTAGAGCTTGGTTTTTGGGGCTGATGTTTT